ACTTTGGTCGAATTTGCTGTTGCGATACTAAACTTTCATAAGGACCTATTACCTCCCTAGACTATTTAATACCGTATTTTAAACATATATATTTGCTCATGTGAACATAAAAAATAATGCAAATCCGACCAAAGTTGGATATTTTTTAGACCCATATCCCTTTTTTCATCCTAAAATAACTTGTGTTCTCTTGTTTTATGTGTTTATTCTTTAAAATTTGTTTCGAAAATGTTCTCTAATTAAGATGTCATTCAATTCTTAAAACTAATTAGAGAAAAAAAAAACTTAAACTAATGTAGACCGTAGCGATTATGAATGTTAATATTTTTTTAAGATGCATGCAAACGGAAAAGATAAAGAGAACCATACGTATAATTTTTTATCGTGTTATCTTTAAAAATGAAAAACAAAATATATATATATAGTACTATACCTTTTTAAAAATAAATATTTATAACTTTTTTTTATTGAGCTTTTTCCTTTTTAAATGTATCCAAATAACCTAGTTTTGAAGTTTCACACAACTTTTGTTTAAGGAGTGCCACCTTGCGGTATAGATCCCTTTTATTTGTTTTTCCTTTTTAATCATATATATATTTAGTAAATTTTCTCGAGGAAGTAATGTCACGTGATACCCCATAAGCTTTCTTAAATCCGCCCCTGGATACGAATAAAATAACTATTGAAGAAGGATATTACGAACTAAACAAGGTAAAATAAGACATTTTAAATAGAATATTTTGATATTGATCATTTATGTTAAGTGATAATAACCATCTTCAATGGGATGGTGATGATAACCTTCATGCATACAAAGAAATGACGAGGTGGGGAATCATCTAATTGATTTCTTTTATCGTACATTCGAAAATAAGTTTTGATAATCATTCGTTTTGATGCATCTTCACCTTTTATCACATGAACCAAATATGCATCAAGTTCTTATACACCAAATACTTCAAAAAATAAATATGCATGACCAAAGTGAAGATTAGACATAATATGCATTATCAAAATATTCCTTTATTTAGACATGAAATTATACGTTTTATCCTTTAAATGAATTGATCTTTAATTTTATTCTTCGAATGAATTAGTCTTAAATTTTTGCCCATTAACAGTTAATCTTATGCCTAATAAAGCACACGTCCTTTAGAAACTAAAATCATATCCACTCATCACTAATGAGATATTAATATATGAACATATAAATTTATGTCTTTAAAAAATTGTTTATCATGATGCAAGTGAAAGACTAGCACAAAATAAGAGAAAAACGTAAATGACCCACTTTAACAACCAAGTGTAGTGGTTTGGGCTTAAGATCGAGTGAGCCCAACTAAGAATTTATGATAAGTAGGCTGACCCCTTAAGCAAATAATCACTCTTGTGGTCTTGTATTTAGACTTTGGTAAAGTCGCTAACAACATTTAATCAGTACATCATTTGCTCGTTTATTGGGTTAATTTTTTATTTTATCCTTCAAATAAATTTTATTTTATTTTTTTATTCTTAAAAATCAAATTTATATCTAGTAGAAAATAATTTTTTTCTTGAACATAATGATATAGGTATAACTTGTGAGATATTATGATGTAAAAATATAAGGAAAAATGGTGTGATGTATCCTTCAACTTTGCACCTTGTTATAAAAGTATCTCATACATATTTTATTATTATTATACAAATGACTCACATATATCATTTTCGGACGTGGAAAAATATTTTTATTTTTTATTAAAAAATAACTCATGTAAGGTATATTCAATCATGTTCATATTTATTTTTACTTCTTTGATTTAACGGTTAATTTAAATTTATTATTTTGATGGTCAAATTTATT